GAATCGTCTCAGCTACCCCCCCATTTCCGGCTCCTCCCCGACTTTTGGGACACCCTGTATAATACGAAGTACCGGAACCCGGTACGGATTAGGGTTCGAATCCCTGCTGTGCGGATAGTATAAATTAGAGATCACGGTTTTGAACGGGTATTAAAATACACGGGAGCACGGAACATGTGTACCGTGTATCAAGGAATTAAGAACACAAGTATTTTTAATACACGGGTACCCGGGTATTGAAACACGCTGACACCCGGATATCGAAATACTCGGATATCCAGGTACGTACATTGAATATTTATTTTAACTACTAAATGACAAGCACGAAATTATCCAAAAAATCCAAAAAAAGGAACACAGAACTCACAAATAGAAAAATAAACACCACAATTATTTGGATTCCCTCTCATCAAGGAATAATTGGAAACGAAAAAGCAGACACCGCCGCAAAAGAAGCGACCGAACTACCACCAAACGAACCTGCAACGCCAATACCATGTCTTGACCAAATAATTAATGTAAAAACAATAATAAGAGAAGAATGAAATGAAATTTGGACCACAACCAACATAACCAAAATTCACAACATCATCCAGAACTTCTATCAGCAAATACCAACTATAAACCTCAACAGGAAAGAAAAATCTGTATTGTCTCGACTGAGACCTGGCCATACGAAAATCACCAACGACTACCTCATCGCTAAAACTGAACCCCCCAAATGTCATTTTTGCCAAATCCATCGTCTAACAATAAACCACCTATTATACGAATGTAAAGAAATAGAACAGAAAAGGAAAAAATACGGAATGAAACCAGACTCAGCCCTAACAGTGCAAGACCACATCAGAAATACAATACAGACTTCCTCAAAGACATCAATATATATTCTAAGATATAAATAATCGCAAATAGTTTTGTCGCTAATGACCTTGTAGTCGATGCGACATAAAACATACAAGGAAAAAAAAAGTTTTACAAATTACACCAACAAATTTATTCTGTTATATTTATTCTTCTTATGTTTATATTTTGTTTATTTATATATTTTACTGCATATCAATCTTTTCAAAATTAATAAGGATCATTATTTTAGAATAATAGCTTTTTTATATAAAAGTTTTTATATAAAAATAACTGGATATTGTACCCATATAATTCGATGTATACACATCCGTGTATTTCGATGCACGTATACGTATAGTCGCTGGAAGGGATCTTGTGAGGCCGTAAAGTCGGTCGGACATCGATCTTTACAACGTAAGTCGACCGCAATTAGTAATCTGGTACCTTTTTAGACAAGGACAGAGTTAGACTTTTCGTCCAGGGTCGTATGGTATCAGAATTAGGATGTTCATATTTCAATAACTTTTTTCTTCTTATGTATATAATTCTGTAGTGCATATAAATTTTATAAATTTTTAATGCGTTTTATAAATTCTTCGACGTTTCCAATTTGGAAAAACCCGCGTAGCAAACATCAAGTCTTTGGGCCCCGGGGTGTAACGTGGGGACAGGGATTCGAACCCTAACCCGTACCGGGTTCTGGTACTTCGTATTATAGAATAACCCATCTAACCAGGTAACACAAGACATCTATAACCCGAGTAACCCGGTTAACCCGGTTGTATGCACGTTATAATAATACAGTAAAAACCATACTTATTACCAGGTTTTGTGGGAACCCCAACACTAGCAATGATAAACATTCGTCAGTCTTGTTTTAGAACGTGTAGTGAACGTGTGTGTCCTACATTCATTATATACTCGTACATTTTAAACAATCTATGTAGTTTCATTTGATTTGAATATTGCCTGTAAGTTCACATATCTTTGACTTGTCTGGATGTCTAGGATGTCTTCTTCTACTAGTAACCCACTCCGAGCAGGTTAACCCGCTCTTCCTACAATTCAAGAACCGTTCCTTTGTGGTTAGTATGGGTTACAGTAACCATCCCTTCATTAACCGGGTTTGGGTTAGGGTTCAGCAGCGGTTCGAATCCCTGGTCAAGGAACACCTTTGCGAACGTTTTTAGGCTATGTTATTGTTCGTGTTCGCCGCAATGTGGACCCGGGGTAAGGATCCTACTCTGGCTAGCTCGTATACTCTCTCATAATCCCTAAGTCCGGTATGACCCGAAGCCTAGAGTAGATGTACCTTACTGTCCCTAGCTAGCCGGATCAATAGGTTGATACAGTTCCTGGTGGTCCACGAGGTCACTACCACGGCGTGTAGTGGTCTCAGCGCGACATTCTGGCAGAATCATTCTGGCCCAGGCCCGATCGCAAACGTCTCCGCCTTACTAAGGGATAGTTTTTAGCTTTCTATTACTGACAAAATTTTTAGAATCGGTTCAGTAGTTCCAGAGATTACACTCCACATACAAACAAATTTTACCTCTTTATAATAGCACTGTAGATTAATCTGCTTATATTTTCATACACTTATTCATTTAATTGAACGTATTACCACATTTGAGACTCGCATTATTAAAATACCGACCCCAGAAACTGGTATCGCCGTTAATCTTGATATAGGACGCCTGTTGCGTCGTAGGTGAAATAAGTAATATCATACACTTGTACTCTGAATCATCGGTCTGAAAACTCATACGTGATTGTAGTGTTCCTAGTAAATTTAAAGAAACTGCTCGTTACCCAATTCGAATCGCACTTATGGAAATATTTAAAATCATTACCGTAAATTATCAGCCAACAATTCGTTTATTTTTAATTGCGCGGTCACTTGGTAACTGTTATCTACGAAATTAATTTTTGTTTTGCTGTTTTTCGTTTTCCAACAAATTATTAACGATAAAGAATCATGTTGATCTTATCGATTACCGTGTGTTTATGATTCTAAACGTAATCAATATAATTATAAAAATTATCTGGTATTTTAAATCTTCAAGGGGGAATTTTTGATTTTCGTTTGATCTTTCTTTTTCGTATCTATTAAAAACATCTGTTCATCTCGTTTTCACTTACCTTGCACAAGATCGAACGCTATTAATACGTTATCAATAGCGTTCGATCTTTGCTATTAAATAGTTAATTATTTTACCTAATTGTTTGCGATTATAATTTCAAACTAAATCGTTTATAAATTATTTTCCTGGCGATGTTCGAATTATTAATGGATCCCGTACCACACAATTTGCAATTTAGACTCTCCGCTTCTAATGAAACAGTCGTATAGTATAGTGTTATGAATAGAATTTGAGATATCTACGAAATATCTCGTAATCTTCGATATCTTCGTATCTAATTAAGATATGACGAAATTCCGGGATAAACTGCTACTAAACTACGAAATATTTGATTATCTAATTACAGTCATCCAAGCACGTAAAACGTAAAATGATAGTAATCAAGTAAGTCAGATATTTTTTATCGTGGTAACTAAGAAACTTGTATTAATAGAAACAAGTAACATCATTTGCACCCAGATTGATTGACAGAACTTCAACTTTACACAGAAAATGTAGTGAATGTTTTATCATTTGATAAATTTTAATTACTGATGTCTTTGTAAAACCAACTGACTGTCTAGAGTTAAGTCGGTTAAAAGTTGTCCCATCTTTTATGCATGGTGAGACATTTTTGTACTCATGTATTTTAAGTACATACATCGTTTTAAAAAATTATTGTTATTCTGTGCAGTTTGAGTTTTACTGTTTGTTTGAAACTTCTGATTAATTCTATTAAATCGATTTTACTCATGAAAGTATGAATTCGGTAACAGAAATTTCATAAAAAATCTCCGTAAACCTAGTGTTAAAGATGTACCACCGTATTCTGAATTTACTTATTACTCTGACCTTTAACCTGAGGTTTTCATACATTTACGACGTATGCAATTATGAATAATGCATGCCAGAATATATGCGCTCATGCAAAATTAAATACTAACGCATTAATAATCGACTCCGAGTTTCCTCGTTTATAGTTAGCCAAATATCGCATTAGCCTATTGATATGCTATAGTTCTAGAAAATGTTCTAGCTACAAAATCATATCTTTACATATAGCATTTATTTTAATACAATTTTGATAAAATTTGATACAACTTGATATAGAGTCAGTCCCATAAATATTCGTACCCTTTATTTTTATTAAAGAAATTTGTCTAAATTAAATGACAGGCTTGATGTTTCCGAATGAATTTTTAATAATAAAACAGTTATTTCGAAATATCAAGTCTATCATTTAATTTAGACTTTCTTCTATAAAGATAAAGATTACGAATACTTGTGAGACTGTCTGTAGATACTCGTAATAAATAAAGACATTTCTGATTATCTATTGTAAAGCAAAAATGATTCACTTCAAGTTTATAATTATTGAAAGATTGTATTAACACGTTGGCATACAGTTTTAAAAGTCCTTCTAGATACAAAATTCTATCTCTATATATAGAATCAATTTAGGTAAAAGTTTGATAAAGTTTGATACACACTCGTATATGCACACTCGTGATAAATGAAAATATTCCTGATTATCTATATTAAGAAAAAAATAATATCGCCAATCGTAGACCTTGCGCTTGCACGATTTCACGTGTCCAGCAGCAGATGTATAATTATCATTAGAGATAAATGTGCGGATATTAAGTTTTAGATGGAATTAAGAAAAAGTGCGAGGTTATCTATATGAAATACGTTATTTTTTAAAAACGAAGAAATATTCATGTATGCTTTTAGATAGTAATTCAATTAAAGAAATAACAATTAAAGAACTCTTAACTCACAATTAACACAAACTGTCAATATGTTTTTTGTGTTTTTTTACGTAGAAACTTTTGCTATGTACGCTTTACAATAAAACTCCTAAATAGGATCTTCAAATTAATCTCTGCTTAACCATGAATATACAAACATTATAAAGCGTTCTCCGAAATGAGCTTCAGGATTTTATTTTCAAAGTCTTTTATCTTTTAAGTTATTTGCTTTCTTGGGCAAATAGCTACTAATAAAATTGTTAATAAAAATGTTATAGTGTGTCGCTTGCTGAATGACATTTATTATTATTGTTATTAATTGTATAAAGTTGTCTTATAATGTAACAAAAAACTCGTACAATTATATATTTCAAAATTTCATTTTGAGCTTAACACGTGCGGTTCCATGATTAACAATTTCGATTCATCGCCGATATTTAAATACTTGAGCTCATTCTGTGTGACAGGTTCCCAGGTAGTCGCAATAAATTCGTCGTGGCATGGTGTAGGATTCCTACAATAAATAGATTCCGTTACATCGACATCAAAATTCAGTTTGCAATTTATAGAATCCCAATATATAACTTACCCTGTCTTGGCAAAATTAGTCCACATTCTAGTCAAACGTTCTATCACGATTCTGTCTTTAGTACCTTCCGCTGGTGGTTTAGTGTTTTTTATTTTGACGTAAGGAGAATAAAACAGATACGATAGCTCGTCGACATGAGAGGCTCCTGGAATATGTTTGTTAATGCTAGTAGCTTTGATTATTGCAACTTGATATTGAATTCTATTGCATACGCTTTAAGCAACTTAATTCTTAATAGTATATTGACTAACTGATTCTCATTAATATCAAATTAACTGAATAACTTAATCAATGTTATTGTAAATGCAAATATGCAAATGTAAAACAGCAAATAGGACAGATATTACAACTTGAATAATGTCCTATACATCATAAAGTACACCTCTGTGCAAAATTTCAGCTTTCTATGTTCAATGGTTTAGTCTGGGCGTTGAAACAAACCTTGCAGCTCCTATTCACCCTATCAGGGGATGAATTTTTTAAAATGCCGAAATATGTGTTTAATTAATTATATCAAAGAGCATTAAGACCAAGTTTCAAACAAATCCTATCACAGATCAAATATTCCTCGTACAAACGTTGTAACCCCATTTTACCCCCTATTAGGAGTTGAATTTCGAAATAGCCTTCTTTATTCTTTGTGCGGTCCCATTGACGCGGCAAGCACCATGGGGTTCTTGAAATCGATACGGAGGATCTCGCTTGGGATTCCAGGCCCAAGGAAGGAAAACAGGAAAAGTATTACCTACCTAGAAAATTCTCGGTGCTACAAGTAACGCATCAGTAGCGGTCAACACTTTTCCTGTTTTCCTTCCTTGGGCCTGGAATCGCAAGCGAGAATCTCCGTATCGATTTCAAGAACCCCATGGTGCTTACCGCATCAATGGGACCACCCGGGACCGAACCAAGATTTTTCCTTGAAAATTAGCAAACTTTGAAGCGTTATAGCTTGAAAACTAATAAAAATCAGGTGAATACATTAAAGCTTAATGAATTCGTCTTGAAAGGTACTATCGCATGGTATAAAAAAAAATATATAGTTCCATTTGAAAAACGAAACTTGACCATCATTTCTCGTTAAATAACAAAGTTAACAAAAATTCCTTCTCGCTGAAACATGAGCCCCATTTTACTATGCAATTTCCATGTTTGGAATTTTGCTGCACTTAGGCTGGGACACCCTGTATGGATATTACCTTATACCATTCTTATAAACTTACCGTAGTAACTGTAAACATCAATATCAGTCAGATTTAAATATATAATTTAAAGTATTTACATTTTCATTCGATATGCACAAATAAAACAATACTTTAGATAATCTCTGTAGGCCTTCCAGCTAGCAGAGGCTCCTGACATGTAACCCCTGCAGTCCTTGCTTTAATATATTACTTATTATATTCGTCTTATAATAGTAAATCTTTAAAAAAATATATGATTACCAGTAGCAACACGTTTCACAAGGAGATCCGTGTGCGTTTCTTCGTTCCCGACATACGTATATACGTAAAAATAAGTAGGTGCCCTTGTCATCTTCACTCGACCCTCTACATAGATACACGTTCCAACGCCGAAAGCTATATCACTCATGAGCACTATAAATTCGTTTATCTTGTCCGGGCTTAGCGGTTGACCTCCAAAATAACGATTCCTAACGACTCTCAACAGTTCATCGGTGTCCGCGTCGCTCAAATTCTTCGTGTCCGCTAGGCGTTTTACAAATATCGGTAGAGCCATATCGTACATCTTCATCATTTTCTCGGATTTGTCTGAAGCGAAAAGAAAATGGTACAAAACACGGCTATGATATTTAAACGTCATACATATGGTTTTCCAACGGCGAATTTATTCGAATAACGATCACCTGCAACGAACATCATGAATTCATGAGACGTATACCCAACCATAACGGGAATATCAGTGACTGTCGAAAGTATTTCATCATATGGTTGTGGTAACACAGAGTATTCCGCTATGTTATCGGTATTTAATCCAAACTGAAGACATAGACTATGTTCCTCCTGGAAAACAATCAAATAATTGTTAGCTACTGCACATAGCTCTGCCATAAAATCTGTTACAAGTAGGCGGGATTACTGTGTACATAATATAAAACACTAACGTTTCTAATTAATCAGAATTTATTCGTCCAGTTGATAACAGAAGACAAATGATGGTATTTGTTGAACCATCGCGAAACAAAGTTCAACAATCGACGATGTCAAAATACAGTTAGGGACATAACAGTATAATGACCATCCCCAGCGGCATTCGGAGTTTCGATCGCCGAAAAATACCCATATTTGGAGAATCGCGTCGCGAACCTTGCAGCAGGTAATAGAGTAAAACGTAGACTGTTTTATTACTAGCCTCGACAACAGCTAGACTCTACAGCTGGTTACCAGATGCGAAGGTGATGGTCGCAAGGATACCTTGAGTCGCGGGAGTCCGTAGGTAGTTGCGAGCGAGGGTGCAAACCCACCCCTTCTTCAATACGGTTTTTCGAGAGAATTCTCAACTCCTCAGTCCTCGTCCAACCTTGTCAGAGGACAGAACACCACCGACCATTCAAATGTACTTACAACTCGCGAACTCGCGAGCATTAACGAAACCTCACATCAAGAACGAGATCCAGAACCGTTAATTCGTGGCTGGATCAGAGTCGCTATTGGGTGCGCGAATCCGAGCGACTCGACGCAACAGTATTATTCGAAATGATCACCTGCTGCAGAGCTGTAGCTGAGTTACCGGTGGAGTTACTTCCACTGGAGAAGCAGCCTTACAGACCACGGTCTCCAGTTTTCATGACAGTTTATAATTAAGCAGATTCAAATTTGCCCTTTCAGAGCAGAGACGAAATCAGAGACTTAGTTCTGTAGTCACTTTTGAGTCGTTTCTGTTTTGTAACTTAAAACAAGAAGAATGTTATACCTTGATAGGGTTGAATTCGCTTGTGGAAGATTGTAAACTGTGATTAGTTTCGATCGCAACGATTTCGTTGGTATAAAGAACGCTACAATAAAATGAACTTTTAACCGTAAGAACCGTGTTTAATAATATGTGCCAACGTCATATGTGCAAGGCTAGATTAATGCAAAAGATAACCATATCAAATATTACGTTATGTTTGAGTAATTGTATAATTAATAGATAAAACTTTACTTACAACTTTAATTGTCAATACGAAGAATTCTTCTGGCTATAACTTTGTGATAACCTCTTTGAAATAAAAAGAGAGAGATACTCTTTAAAATATCTCCTTTTCATATTCAAGAAAGAAGATTATATTTCATATAATACTACTGTCTTTCTTTTGTTTTTATTAACTGTGCAAGTAAAATGTGATTAGTCAAAATTCAAAGTCATAGCGTTTCTAACTTTTGTTACAAATACAGGGTGAGTCCGAAGAAACAGAACAACTAAATATCTCCGTTACTTTTCGTTGTAGAAAAAAACTTCTTAGGACAAAGTTACACTGTTTGGAGAGCCACATGTAACTGTGTAAGGAAACAAGTTTTCAAGGTCATTTTTTAATGAAATTTCAAGGTCATCAATGCTTTTTTTTAATGGAAAAATACATTCTCGTTAAAGAGGTAAGAAAAGTAACGGAGATATTTAGATGTTCTGTTTCTTCGGACTCGCCCTGTAGTTGTAGCAAACCTTGTAACAGAATTATATTATACATTAGAATATCTCAGAAAATATTACGCATAGTATATCTTGCATTTGTTTACATTGTAATTGTTCATTTTAATTGTTTCTAAAATAATTAGCAAAAGAAATTAGACTTCCATTCTTTCAAACATGGATGTACGAACCTTTATGCATAAAAAAGAATCAACTTGAAATTGTTGCTTTGTTACAGTTTTTATTTAATAAATCAAGATTTCAAAGACTAAAATATTTTCTGAGAAGAACACAATGCAAATTAGCGCAAAATCTTGTTACCTCTTTCGTAAGCATAGCAGAATAACCCTTCACGATATCCTTGGCGTCGATCGTTCGCAGGAATTCAACAACTTGAACAGGATCGGTGGAATTTGATCCAAGGTGTGCCGCAAGCTTGAAGCTACGGGCTGGAACACTTTGATTCATAGCCACCGGAGACTGCAGTACTCCACTTTGTATTATCGCTTTGTGGAACAACCCTAAGGTAAACAATAATTTAGGATTACTATTATTATGTACTGATATTTACGTGTTGACACACGTTATATTCATTTAAAAGTCAGTCGTATCGCAACAATATACAGAGCGAGGCATTTAAAATAGGCCACCTGCATAATTCGCTTACTCTTAGTGATAGAAAAAAAGGGGCACGCAACGTGGTGCTAATAACTTTTTTATCGGTGGTTGCGTACAGGAGATAATAAGGTCGATTGCTTCTTTTTATGTAGAATGATACAGTTTCTTATACACATTCTGATAGAGAATTTCAAGATAAGTACAATGACATGTAGTTGAAGGTCATTCAAGGTTACACAGGCTATCTGTAAAAGAATATAAAGTGTCTCAAGGCACTCCTCACATTATTTTGTTTCTTCCTGCTTTGGTACACTGCCCTTGTAATCGTTCAAGCGTATCGGTAAAGCTAAATAGATATTGAATTATGCATAGTTTAAACCGTTCTTACTAACTAGTGTGTATTTATATATTCAATGATCAAAGTGGGTGTTCTCGAAATGCATTAAAGCGGAAAAGATTGATATGATCTTCATCTACGGTGAATGTCGCCAGATTATGAAAGAAGCAGTGCATTTTTTATACTGAACAATTTCCTGATCGTGGTCGTCACTCACTATCAGTTTTTTTGAACTCACTATCAATTTTAAAGAAACAGGAAGCGTCAATAACGTGAAACGCAAACGAATCAGGAAAGTCACTAATCAGGGAAATACAACGAATATTTTGACAGCTGTGTCACAATAAAAATATTTAACCATTCTTAGGTAAACCATATTTTCGAAGAGTACCTAATGCAGGGTGTCCACGCTAAAGTGTGACAATAACGATATTTCAATAACTATTGATTTTGGGCTTGCTGTTCCGAGCGTAGACCCTTCCTATCGATTTCAACAGGAGTCAAACACCGCAACAATAGGACCGCTTTTTATGACTTAGCACTCAAACCGAGACGTCTCAGCTGAAAACACTGTCCAACAAATTTAAACTTTTTTTTAAATTCTGCGATATCCACTAGGTGATTCTTATAGGGTTCCTCGTCCTAAATACCAATCTGAAAGTGAAATTAAACGATAGAGGAGTGTTTTCTAAATATGAAAACATATTCCTTTAGAATTATCTGCTCCTTTGAATGCCTGTAAATGAACACCGAAGATCAAAAAGGTGATGATGCGTGAATTTTTCACGAAATACTTTTGTATTTTTATGAAAAGTTATTCGTCTAGGTCGAATTTACACTACGTTATCGGATTTTGCAAACATTTCTGAGGAGAAAACCACCCGCGGCAAATGTTGGAACAGTTTCTAATCCATACGGTTTCACAAAACGTCAACTTGGAACGCATGAATGGCAAACAGAATTCGTGCGTTCTAAATTAATATTTTCTGGATCTGTACGAACTAGAAAACGTTCCAACATTTGCCGCGGATGGTTTTCTCTTCAAAAATGTTTGCAGAAACCTATAATGCATAGTAAATTCGACCTAGACGAATAACTTTTCATAAAAATACAAACGTATTTCGTGAAAAGTACTCGCGTCGCCAACTTTTTGAACTTCGGTGTTCGTTTACAGGCATTCAAAGGAGCAGATAATTCTAAAAGAATATGTTTTTATATTTAGAAAACATTTCTCTATCGTTTAAGACTAAATAAAACTTTCTAGCGTTCGTAGTTTTCAAGTAGTATTACGTTTTCTGTTAAAATCAACCGTTTTTACTAAATCTCGTATTTCTCGAAAGCTAAGAGTGATGGAGCAATTGCACTTTCGGATTCGTATTTAGGACGAGGAACCCTATAAGAATCACCTAGTGTATATCGCGGAAAAAAAGTCGTATTGGACAGTGAAATCAGTAAATTTCTAAGCGTTATGTCTTGAAAACTAATAAAGTGAATACATTAAACTAATCGAGTGAATACATTAGCTTAATAAACATTTCCGTCTTGAAAAGCACTATTGCATGATCCAAAAAAAAATACTTTATAATTCCATTTATTAATCTTCGTTTGCGCTACAGTAGAGATCCCATTTTATCCGAGATTACATACAAACAATTTTTCATGTCATCAATAGTTATTGAAATATCGCGACTGTCACACTTCAGCGTGGACAGAAATAGCCCTCGAATTGTGTACGATAAACATATTAATGATAATTAAACGAAGATAGATATTACCTTGAGCACATGGCGACACAGTTAAGGCATGAACTAATATTCCTCCAGCGCTCGCACCAAAAATCGTGACATTGTCAGGATCACCTCCAAAATTGGCAATATTATCCTTGACCCACTGCAACGCTGCAATCACGTCCTTCAGGCCCTGGTTCCCAGGCGCAGCTCGGTGACCCAGATTCAAGAAACCTTTAAATTCCAATCCAATTCGATTGTTTCCTCATTTTAACAAATAATTGATCTTACCGTGTGAATTTTCGGACAAAACGTAATTAAACTTTTTTTAGTTTTTAAGGAGACACGATACTGTAACATTTTTAATAACAAACATACTTCAAGAACGATGTGTAATAATTTGTATAACAAATCTCTATAATTACTAGAGTTACAAACCTGTGAATAAAGCAGTGCTAAATGCTCGAGCGAAAGCTACTGAAGCATTATAAATTTATCTATAAAAAAACTATGAGTTCGAGACCATGAGTTTCTTTTAAATTGATTTTTTTTAATAAATAAATAACTTTTTTCCTGAAATTTTGTTTTTAAAGTCCCGCCATTTTCTAATTTATCGGAATAACGAAAAAATCATACGTCGGGCTATAGTTGTAGGTAATCTAATTTAGAAAATTTTTAGTTCTTAGGTCTCATATAAAACCCGCGATCACAATATTGTCAATCGGTCTCTAGTGTCTTTTTTGCAGTGCTCAGTTGTGTACACTGTAGAATAGATTAACGCAATTTTAATGACATCATGAGACCGGTTTTTCTTTATTTGAGCGTTCAGTAAAGCACAGTAAAAGTTTGAAAACAAATCATTGTATTGTTTGTTCATTAATATTTTATAAATATAACTCTTTTAATAATATCGCTACAGTGATATCGATCTTACTATCAATTTCCTATTTCTTTCGTCGGTAAAAGATAAATAAAAATGGTACTAACCGAATGCGCCTAGCCTGTAATTAGTCATAACAATGACAACGTCTTGTTTGATTAAGTAGTCAGGCCTCTTCACGTTGTAACTGGCACTTCCAACTATGAATGAACCGCCATGAATCCAGAACATAACCGGTTTACGTGCACAGTCGGAAATGGAATTCGTAAATACATTAAGGTAAAGGCAGTCTTCATCACCGAACACATCGAAAGGTGCGACTTCCCTTACTTGTGTACAGGCTTTCCCGACATATTTGGACGCATCTCTGATACCTGTCCATGGCGCAGGTGGTTTCGGATCCTGTATCATGAATGGAAATCGTAAATCCTCGCTGGAAATAACGATTAACGCATCGCACGTGTATTTCTGAAGCGACAGACGGCAAAAAACGTGATTTCTGTGTTATCATCAAGAAAAGTAAACACTACTTTATTAATCATCAACGGTGTGTTAACTTCTAGGAGTTCTTGGATTATGGCTTATGCCGATTATAGTTTGGTTAATACGAATCAGCAGTAATTTCTTGTGAAAAATATTTTTTAAAGTGTATTATCTCAGAAATATATGTACAATATGTGACATAAACTATATCAGCACTTTTTCTAAGACGGCTTTTCAATGTATCTTCAAAATCAAAGATGTTCCAAAAAATCTGTGAAACTGTACGAAAAAACTATGATTATATATATATATATATATATATATACAGGGTGTCCCAAAAGTCGGGGAGGAGCTGGAAATGAGGGGTAGCTGAGACGATTCTGAACAACAATTTCCTTTGCAAAAATGTCGGATGGGGTTTCGTTAAGGAGATATTAACCGAAAACCCCGACCAATCAGAGCGCGCGTAGACCGTTGGAGCGGCCGCGGTAGTGAAGGCTTCGCGCTAGACGGCAGCGTCAATGTCCTTCGATGCACGTCGGAGTCACTTGTTCGCGTACAAGCGCGGCCGTCAGCGCGTAACCTTCGCTACCGCGGCCGCTCCAACGATCTACGCGCGCTCTGATTGGTCGGGGTTTTCGCTTAATATCTCCTTAACGAAGCCCCATCCGACATTTTTGCAAAGGAAATTTTTGTTCAGAATCGTCTCAGCTACCCCCCATTTCCGGCTCCTCCCCGACTTTTGGGACACCCTGTATATATATATATACAATCATAGTTTTTTCGTACAGTTATATATATATATATATATAGCAAAGGAAAAAGTTGTTTCACATCACCCCCTGAACCACCCTTTTCAAGGACCTCCAACATTTTTGGGACACCCTGTATATTGTTCGTGCGCGAAAAGAATGTGTTCATCACTCTTCTAAAATTTCAGACCAGGGAAATATTTCTTTTCGTTAACCTGAGAAAAACTTACTAAAATAAAATAGCTAACTGATCCATAATTATAAAAAGTTAACAAAATCTGCGTACATCGCCAGTCATATTTTTCTCGCAAGCGAACAATACGCATGTTCGCATGCCCTTTTTTACAAATGTTCAAACATTCCTTCAAATAAATACTAAACAATTGTTACAGAATTAACCATAATTAATTAAGATTGTATCTCCGTGTTCTCTAATACAATTATGCTCATGCATACTTCATCAACCCCCTATAACTACAGTGGGTGTAGAATGTAGTCGTACATCGATCATTTTCCCAAAAAACTTTTCTGTGAAATTGTACTTTCTTAACTTTTTTTTCTATAATCAATGATATTTTACATATTCTCGGAAGTCTTTAAGATACATAGATATAGTTCAAACAACAATTACTAGTTAATATAATTTGTGAAATTAACAAAAAAATGCGGAAAGTAGGTAAAAGTATAGAAGCAATAAGTATTTGTACGATTCTTATAACGAACCATTTACAGCAGAGTTTGTAACGTAAGCACATTAGTTTATTGCTCCGTACGAATTAGAAAACATCAAATTTCCAGGAAAGTACGTTTAAAAATGGCTCTAATAGAGGAATTGAAGAAGATCCCACTTCGAATAACTAATAATTTAGTTAATTTAATGCTTAGAAGAGTTCCAATAATTATAAAATCAAACGGAAATCTCTCGAAGGAAGTATTATGTACTTATAAATTAATGTAAATTCCTTTTTTTTTTAACGAAGTTTTAAAAATTAATCAGTTGCGCGAATACTTATTGCTTCAATATTTCTATCGATTAATTGTTTTTTTCTTGTTAATTTCGCAACTTACATAAATAGCTATTTTTTTGTAGTAATCTATCTATTCTAGAGATTTCCGAGAATGTGTAGAATCTCATTGTTTATAAAGAATAAGTTAATAAATTACAATTTTATACAGTTTTTTTGGAAATTGATCGGTGTACGAATACTTTCTACACCCACTGTATGTATGAATCTGAAGTCGCATATACTTTCGCATAATCTACAATTGTGAAAAGTAATCTAGTCCTATTATCAGTATGTATTATGCTGGCCAACCATAATGGATATGAATGTAAATAGTAGTTTGTATCGATTAAACTGTGTCTTTTAATTTACATTTCATTACCATGGTTTACCAAAGAACCGACCTAGTTTATTCAAAACTGAATATAAAATGAGTTATAGAAAATTACAATTTTTCATTGGAGTAACATTGTTTACATTTAATCTTACATATAATAATATTTCAATAATTAAAACATAGACATTCGATGTATAGATAGATAGATAAATAAAAATGCATAGCAAGCGGAGAACGCAATAACTCCCTTGTGATTACTTTTCAATTAATATATGTTTATTACTTGGAATCGGAGTTTTCCAACAGGTGGTGCAGCGAAAGGTATCTCGTGAAACGCGATGTAACTGGACCCTAGAACACCTTGAACGGTGCATCCTCGGAGTTTGCCTTGCTTTACTGTGACTATCGGCTCGTCCATTGTTGGCAAAGTTCCAACCACCTTGATAAGTCTTCGCTGCTGTCTCGACAAAAACTGCGTAGATATCGCTAGCCGCAACCGTAACGTAATCATGTACTTGATTTACCTCGAAAATTCTGATATGAAATCATGATGCCACAGTATGAGATAAAACGGTAAATGTCAGTTGCATACACATCATTAAGTTACCGCGATAAATTGTATCTGAATGCATTAAAAAATAATTTGATTGGTACTATTTTCACGGGAAGTATCGCTCTCGAATACACATGTTTTCAGGAAACATGGAAAACAACTTTTTCTACACATTTGGTATTTTAATTTTAAGGGAAATTAGTATGATAGAGGTTACAGAAACCAGTTCTTAACATTGACACGCTGTATAATGTCACGTACCGACTGAAATTCGAAAAAACAATGCACCGTCGAGATACGGTTTGTAACGTGTTTTTCATCTTAGTTACGGTAGTGTTTCGAGATCGTCATGTCCTAAAATAGAATTAGAAATGTAAAAGTACTCAATAAATGATTGTGACAACAACGCTGACAGTTAATAATTTACATCTCAGTAACGGCGTGGCCAATAATTGTTATTTTCTTTAAAATGATTTATAATTTCGTTTTTTATAGCATATCAAAGTTTCAACAAGTTCCTAAATTGCATTTTGATTTAGATTGAAAAAATTCACGTGAAAATCTGTATATCCATATGGGTCGGTGTTAAAATAACAAAATTTTAATATTATTTTTCATAAAACTGGGATGGTCCATTTAAATCGAAATAAGATTATATTAGTCATATTTAATCAAAGAACAATCAAGCGGGGTTTTGTTAAAATCGTCCATTAAGATGGTATCCTGAATTAGGAGGTCTAAAAAAAGCGGCTTTTGTGAATTTTTTTAGGATGAAAAAAATTATTAACTCTGTCGAACATTTTCTCCTATTTTCATACATATTTAAGTAGTTTGTACAAATTTGTTCAACAAGAAATATTCAAATTGAGTCGACTGTGACGCACATTTGTAGAGCACTTCACAATTAAAACCTCCTATTGGCGGGAACTATGTAGGTCGTAATTTTGGTTTGACACAAAAAAATCAAAAGAAATGTTCATTTTCATACATTTTTTTTCTACGTGAACTAAGAAAATTCATACAAAAAAAATTTTAAACAACTTTTTTATCAAGTTAAAGTGATTTTTTTCACCGAAAGAATTCGTTCTTTTTTTCAAACTTGCAGTAATTTCATATTTCACCATTTTTGCGGAGGTTTTTTAATTCACATAGAAGAAAAATGTATGAAAATGAAAATTTCTTTTGGTTTTTTTGTGTAAAACCAAAAGTACGACCTGCATCTTTCCCGCCGATAGGAGGTTTTAACTGTGAAGTGCTCTACAAATGTGCGTCACAGTCGACTCAATTTGAATATTTCTTGTTGAACAAATTTGTACAAACTACTCAAATATGTATGAAAATAGGAGAAAATGTTCGATAGAATTAATCATTTTTTTTATCCTACAAAAATTCACGAAAAACCGCTTTTTTTAGACCTCCTAATTCAGGATCCCCCCTTAAATAAATTCACGGAACAACTATTATAACGCAAGAAAATCTGTTAGAATTTCATGTGAAACAATCACGTGGAATTATTTGATTCAAAAGAGTTACAATTAAGTAAAAAAAAAGTGATGAAAAACAAACATTAGTACTATGATATCTCCATTTGTGAATTCGAATTCCAGAAAAGCATGTAATCGCTATTAAAACTACATTGGAATCTAGACGTAAGTTTTGCACGAAATAGAATAGAATGAAGTAAAAAATGCAGAACATAATATTACTATAGTATAGTTGCTGTCGTCTTTATACAAGATAACTCTAATGGTATAGTAACTTTTCAGTTAAAAAGCAAACATTTTTGAAGAATTTGTTCCAAGTAAACGATACAATCGATCCATCCGAGGTTTTTACCATTTATTCTGAGTATTTTCGGAATACAATAGATCATTTTTCTATATCAACAAAATGAATAATGTCGATGATATATGTGGTTATAAAGAAAGGCATTGGTTTGATAACGCGAATGCTAATGAAAAATTGGCTAGGGTTAAGAAAACGGGGTACCCTCCGATCGGGCTGATTTTTTTATCATAGATAGTCCTGGCGATTACAATGGTGATCATCTTAGCCCTTAACTCTGCTCCCCTCTCCCACCAGGGATCAAAAACTAAATGCTTCGAAAAGTGGTTTTGGTAAATTTTTACATTAAGGGAGGTATCTCTGATGACCTTGACCTTGACATATGTTTAAGGTCACTCCCACTGAAGTCCGAGGACTTGCTCCCGGTTAGAAGTTTGGGGGTGAAGCGCCTAACTATGCGTGCTGCAGTGCATCTCGCAGATGTGTAAATACGAGGGCGGATCAAATATAAGCGAGACTTTATTTTTAAAATACTTTTATTCAGTGTAATAAAATATCCAAGCACGTGTCACTTTTCAACATAATCTCCTGCTTTGGAAATGCATTTTTCCCAGCGGATTGGAAGGGTTGTAATTAATTCCTAAAAATTACTGAAAAAACAAACTTCTAGACGATAATACTCCCTTAATCCCAGTATCGTAAAACGAAGAGTGCTGCGTTAGGAGCCAATTGCGCACAAAGGCCTCCACCGCCGAATCGTCTAGGAACCGTTGTCCTTCTAGTGCTTCTTTAAGTGCTCCAAAGAGATGGAAATCGCAGGGCGATAGGTCAGGGCTGTAGGGAGGATGGTCAAGTGGAGTCCATCTCATTTCCTCTAATGTTTTGCAAGTTAGCTGCAGTATGGGACGGAGCGTTGTCGTGGAAGAGAATGACGTCTCGAATCGGTTGGTCACGACTTTTGAAACGATCAGCAACCTTTACTCCCTTAAGGGGTTGGTCGCAGTCAGGAAGACGAAAAACAACATTTTTTTGTGATTTTTTTTGGTTATTAAATAATAATTCGCAGAAATAACAATTACGTATATTATAAAGCATGTTTTAAAGAACTAAAAAACATATTTTGTTTTAAGAAGCGTTTAATTTATATCGTCATAATAACCGATGACGTAGACGATGATTTAAAAATATAGGTTTGCGGTGAGCAAGATTTCTCTACACTGGTTTACCTGAAAACAAAATCAAAGGTAGATTTCGAAAATAGATTAGTCTAGCGGGTCCCTGAACGAAGGATTTTGGAAAAAATTCATTTAAAACAAGATGGCGTACATTTGAAGGTGATTTTCAATTTTTTCACTAAAATTAAGCGATTCAATATAGGATAAAAAAAAAAGTATACAAGAGAATAAAAAGTCCTTCGTTCAGGGACCCGTTAGTTTGATATCTTTTCTAAATCCTACCTTTAGTTTTGTTTTCAGGTGCATCAGTTTGAAGAAATCTTGCTCACCGCAAACCAAGTGGCCACCCACGCCATCGCCTGTTATGACGAAATGAATTAACCTTTTTTTAAAACAAAAATTCTTTTATAGTTCTTTAAGACATACTTTGTAATATATTTACATTTTATTCCGTTTCCATTTTTCTGACTGCGACTAACCCCTTAAAAGCTCACAGCTCCCATAACTTATTCCAACCTGGGCTGTAATTTCAGAAAGTGTCAGACGTCGATCGCTTTCAAGAAGGATTCGAATCGTACGAATGTTCTTCTCCGTAATGCTGCTTCGAGGACGGCGATCATGTTCCACATTTTCAACTTGTTACGTCCTTACTTGAATTTCTTATCTCAGCCAAACACGCAAGTCCTTGATAGTGTTTGATCCCCAAACTGTACCATCAATTTTTGCAAAATTTCAACTAATTTGACGCCTTCATGGGTAAGAAATTTAATAATTATGCGTTGCGCAACTAAGACGTGCACTTGTTGCTCTAACATTGTGAATGTTACTGTCAAACTTGTCTGAACTCAATAATGCAATGCTCTCCCCACTCCTGACATCCTAAACAATATACTGTAGAAGCGGTCACCCGCTTCCTTTAAGTTTACGCAATCAGAAACAAAAGTCTCGTTTATATTTGATCGACCCTCGTACGAGGTTACTTTGAAGGATGTACAGGGTGTCCCAAAAATGTTGTAACACCTTGAAAAGGGTGGTTCGGGAGGTGATTTGAAGCAACTTTTTCCGTAGCAAAAATATTGTCCGAAGCTTCGTTGAGGAGATATTAACGGAAAACACTGACCAATCAGAGCGCGAGTATTCTGGTGGAGGGCCGCGGTAGCGTATGAGCGAAGCCGGCTAGCGCGTAGCCTACACTCCACCGGCATCCTCGCGCTCTGATTGGTCAGTGTTTTCTGTTAATATCTCCTCAACGAAGCCTCGGACAACATTTTCGCTAAGGAAAAAGTTGTTTCAAATCACCTCCCGAACCACCTCTTTCAAGATGTTACAACATTTTTGGGACACCCTGTATATTGGTTTCAGGGAGGTCCAGGGGGCGTAGCCCCCCAGCATGCGTATAGTTTTCCGTAGAGGTTTTAGTGAGTCGAACCCCACACTTCGTCTGCATTTTGTTATACATTTTCTTATGCATTTTATCATGCATGTTGTATTGTATATAGCAACACTTTCGTACCGATTCAGTTTTTGGTCCATGGGGGACGAGGGAGGAGTTAAGTGTCAAGATGACCACCATTGTAATCGCCAGGTCAAGGACTATCTATGATAAAAAATATCAGCCCGATCGAAGAGTACCTCGTTTTCTTAATCTCAACAGAAATTTTTTTATTGTTATCTAGAACGACTGAAATGTATTAGATAATATATTTATTATTTGTCTACGTAAAGTGACCTTCGCACCCTAACACATAGTCAGATAATGTCCACATTAAAAAAGAATATCTAGACGAAGGTTCCCCACAAAGATTAATAGTACTATATGACTGATTATACAACCTATTAACTAGAACCACGCTGATTCCGTTTGCCCTTTTAATCTAAATTATTCATCACACTTGCGTAACTCCCAAAAATTCCATATTCGTTAAAAATCGAGTAGGATCGTACTTTGTAGACTTCAAGCTATCAATATAGAGAGAAAAATGTCTTAAATTTTTTAACTGAAGAACAACTGCTCCCTTATCGCTAAACTGGTAGATATATGTGTGATTAATTTACTAGATATTGCGAACTTAAATTAGACGCGACACGCGAAATAACAGGAAACCGCAAAAGGAAATGAATTATCTAAAGTAAAAACGTGAAATTTTCCCAGAGGAACTCGAACTCTACAGTCTGAAGTCACTTCCTCGTCGATAAAGTTATGGCAGCAATTGTCTTTACCAATATCTAAAACTATTTTTAGTTAATGTCGCTAAGCGTTGGTGGTTAGTTCTTTTACGCATAAACAAATTTTGACTTATCGAGACGTAAAGCCAA